ATTCGGGGTTTGGGATTCAGGGTTTGGGAGTTGGGATTCAGGATTTGGCATTTGGGTTTTGGGATGTGGGATTGGGATTTGCAATTTGGGATTTGGGATTTGGAGTTTGGGAGTTGGGATTTGGGAGCAGGATTTGAGATTTGGGATTTGGGATTCAGGATTTGGGATTGAGGGTTGGGATTTGGGATTCAGGATTTGGCATTTGGGTTTGGGGTTTGGGATTTGGAGTTGGGGTTTGGGGTTTGGGGTTTGGGGTTTGGGATTTGGGGTTTGGGAGTTGGGATTTGGGATTTGGGAGTTGGGAGTTGGGATTCAGGATTTGGCATTTGGGTTTTGGGATTTGGGATTGGGATTGGGATTGGGATTGGGATTGGGATTTGCAATTTGCGATTTGGGATTTGGGGTTTGGGAGTTGGGAGTTGGGATTTGGGAGCGGGATTTGAGATTTGGGATTGGTATTTGGGATTGAGGTTTGGGATTCAGGATTCGGGATTTGGGATGGGGCTGGAGCCCCACGGAATTCTGGGACGGGTGGGGGAAGTTGGGGTGATGGAGGTGGGGGATGGTGGGAGATGGGACAGGAGCAGGGGTGGGGAGATGCGGGAGCGGGTGAGGGCTCTGCTCCATCCCATATCCCATTATCCCATATCCCATTATCCCATTATCCCATTATCCCATTATCCCATTATCCCATTATCCCATTATCCCATATCCCATTATCCCATTATCCATATCCCATTATCCCATTACCCCAATATCCCATTACCCCAATATCCCATTATCCCATTATCCCATTACCCCAATATCCCATATCCCATTATCCCATTATCCCATTATCCCATTATCCCATATCCCATTATTCCATTATCCCATTTTCCCAGTGTCCCATTATCCCATTACCCCATTATCCCATATCCCATTNTATCCCATTATCCCATTATCCCATATCCCATTATTCCATTATCCCATTTTCCCAGTGTCCCATTATCCCATTACCCCATTATCCCATATCCCATTATCCCATTATCCCATATCCCATTACCCCAATATCCCATATGCCATATCCCATACCCCAAATCCCTTTATGATGTTACCCTGATATCCCATATCCCATTATCCCGGTATGCCGATAACTCCTATCCCAAATCCCATATCCCACATCCCAAATCCCAAACCGCGTTAATTATCCCATGGATCCCAAATCCCATATCCCATAATCCCACGAATCCCAAATCCCAGGAACATCGCCTTCAGGAACATCCTGGTGGCCTCTCCCCTCCACATCCCACATCTCATATCCCATATCCCAAATCCCATTATCCCATGGATTCCAAATCCCATTATCCCATTAATTATCCCATATCCCACTTCCCATATCCCACATCCCACAACCCATATCCCATATCCCATATCCCACATCCCATATCCCACAACCCATATACCATATCCCATATCCCACATCCCATTATTCCATGGATCCCAAATCCCATTATCCCCTTAATTATCGCACATCCCATATCCCGTATTCCATATCTCACATCCCATATCCCACGTCTCATATCCCAAATCCCACATCCGAAATCGCAATTCCCATAATCCCAATTCCCATCATCCCAAATCCCGAACCGCAGGGACATCGCCGTCCGGAACATCCTGGTGGCCTCCCCTGTCCATTATCCCATTATCCCATTATCCCACATCCCACATCCCATGTCCCATATCCCATATCCCATTATTCCATGGATCCCAAATCCCATTATCCCATTAATTATCACACATCCCATATCCCACATCCCATATCCCAAATCCCACATCCGAAATCCCAATTCCCACAATCCCAATTCCCATAATCCCATTATCCCACAGATCCCAAATCCCATGGATCCCATATCCCATATCCCAGATCCCACATCAGAAATCCCAATTCCCATAATCCCAAATCCCACATCCCAAATCCCATATCCCATATCCCACATCCCAAATCCCACATCCGAAATCCCAATTCCCATATCCCATATCCCATATCCTATATCCCCTATCCCATATCCCACATCCCAAATCCCACATCCCATATCCCATATCCCACATCCCATATCCCGTAATCCCATGGATCCCAAATCCCAAATCCCACATCTGAAATCCCAATTCCCATCATCCCAAATCCCACAATCCCAAATCCCGAACCGCAGGGACATCGCCGTGCGGAACATCCTGGTGGCCTCCCCTGTCCATTATCCCATTATCCCATTATCCCATTATCCCATTATCCCATTATCCCATTATCCCATTATCCCATTATCCCATTATCCCACATCCCATATCCCATATCCTATATCCCATATCCCATATCCAACATCCCATATCCCACATCCCCTATCCCATATCCCATATCCCATATCCTATATCCCATATCGCATTATTCCATGGATCCCAAATCCCATTATCCCATTAATTATCACACATCCCATATCCCATATCCAACATCCCATATCCCACATCCCCTATCCCACGTCCCAAATCCCACACCCAAAATCCCAATTCCCATAATCCCCAATCCCACGGATCCCAAATCCCGAACCGCAGGGACATCCCCGTGCAGAACATCCTGGTGGCCTCCCCTGTCCATTATCCCATTATCCCATATCCCATATCCCATATCCCATATCCCATATCCCATATCCAACATCCCATATCCCATATCCCACATCCCATATCCCATATCCTATATCCCATATTCCACATCCCATATCCCACGTCCCATATCTCAAATCCCACATCCGAAATCCCAATTCCCATAATCCCACATCCCAAATCCCCTTATCCCATTACCCTAAATCCCAATTCCCACAATCCCCAATCCCACGGATCCCAAATCCCATGGATCCCATATCCCATATCCCAAATCCCATTATCCCATGGATTCCAAATCCCATTATCCCATTAATTATCCCACATCCCATATCCCATAGCCAACATCCCACATCCCACATCCCATATCCCACATCCAAAATCCCACATCCAAAATCCCAATTCCCATAATCCTAAATCCCACAGATCCCAAATCCCATGGATCCCATATCCCAAATCCCACATCCGAAACCCCAATTCCCATAATCCCAATTCCCACAATCCCAATTCCCACAATCCCAAATCCCGAACCGCAGGGACATCGCCGTGCGGAACATCCTGGTGGCTCTTCCATCATCCCATATCCCACGTCCCATATCTCAAATCCCACATCCCAAATCCCATATCCCATATCCCATATCTCATATCCCATATCCAACATCCCATATCCCAAATCCCACATCCGAAACCCCAATTCCCATCATCCCATATCCCATAATCCCAATTCCCATAATCCCAATTCCCATAATCCCAAATCCCGCCCCGCAGGGACATCGCCGTCCGGAACATCCTGGTGGCCTCCCCTGTCCATTATCCCATTATCCCATTATCCCATTATCCCACATCCCACATCCAAAATCCCAATTCCCATAATCCCAATTCCCATAATCCCAATCCCCATAATCCCATATCCCATAATCCCAATTCCCACAATCCCAAATCCCGAACCGCAGGGACATCGCCGTCCGGAACATCCTGGTGGCCTCCCCGGAGTGCGTCAAGCTCGGCGACTTCGGCCTCTCGCGCTACATCGAGGATGAGGAGTACTACAAAGGTGGGATCCATCCCGCGGGATCGGGGATTCCCGGGATCCCTCGGGATGGCCGGGAATGGGGGAATTGTGGGATCGGGATCATTCCCGGCTCCTTCCAGCTTCCATCTCCCGCCTCCCCATCAAGTGGATGGCGCCGGAATCCATCAACTTCCGGCGCTTCACCACGGCCAGCGACGTCTGGATGTTCGGTGAGGGGCGGGATTCCGGGATTCTGGATCGTGTGGGATCTTGGGATTCAGAGTTGTGGGATTCCCGGATTCTGGATCGTGTGGGATCTTGGGATTCAGAGTTGGGGGATTGTGGGATTCAGAGTTGTGGGATTTTGGGATTCAGAGTTGGGGGATCCTGGGATTCCGAACTGTGGGATTCAAGGGTTCACCTTTGTGGGATTCTGGGATTCAGAATTTTGGGATTCTTGGATTCAGAACTGTGGGATTCTGGGATTCAGAATTGGGGGATCCTGGGATTCAGAATTGGGGGATTTTGGGATTCAGAATGGTGGGATTCCGGGATTCAGAATTGGGGGATCCTGGGATTTAGAGTTGTGGGATCCTGGGATTCAGAGTTGTGGGATTCCGGGGTTCAGAGTAGGGGGATTCTTGGATTCAGAATTGGGGGATCCTGGGATTCCGAACTGTGGGATTCAAGGGTTCACCTTTGTGGGATTCTGGGATTCAGAATTGGGGGATTCTGGGATTCAGAATTGGGGGATCTTGGGATTCAGAGTTGCGGGATTCTGGGATTCTGAATCGTGTGGGATCTTGGGATTCAGAATTGTGGGATTCTGGGATTCAGAATTGGGGGATCCTGGGATTCAGAGTTGAGGGATTGTGGGATTCAGAATTGGGCGATTCTGGGATTCAAAATTGTGGGATTCTGGGATTCTGAATCGTGTGGGATCTTGGGATTCAGAACTGGGGGATTGTGGGATTCAGAACTGGGGGATTCCAGGGATTCAGAATTGGGGGATCTTGGGATTCAGAGTTGTGGGATTTCGGGAATTCACAATTGGGGGATCCTGGGATTGAGAGTTGTGGGATCTTGGGATTCAGAGTTGGGGGATCCTGGGATTCGTCAAAATGGGGTGGGATTCTGGGATTCAGCTTTGTGGGGTGGGATCCTGGGATTCAGAGTTGGGGGATTCCTGGGATTCAGAACTGGGGGAATCTGAGATTCAGAATTGTGGGATCCTGGGATTCAGAGTTGAGGGATTGTGGGATTCAGAATTGGGGGATTCTGGGATTCAGAGTTGGGGGATCCTGGGATTCAGAATTGGGGGATTCTGGGATTCAGAGTTGTGGGATCCTGGGATTCAGAGTTGTGGGATTCTGGGATTCAGAATTGGGGGATCTTGGGATTCAGAGTTGGGGGATTCTGGGATTCAGGGTTGGGGGATCCTGGGATTCAGAATTTTGGGATTCTGGGATTCAGAATCATGGAATCCTGGGATTCGTCATAATGGGGTGGGATTCTGGGATTCAGAACTGGGAGATTTTGGGATTTGGAATTGGGGGATTCTGGGATTCAGAATTGTGGGATCCTGAGATTCAGATTTGTGGGATCCTGGCATTCAGAGTGGGATCTTGGGATTCAGAATTGGGGGATTCTGGGATTCAGAGTTGAGGGATTGTGGGATTCAGAGTTGGGGGATTTTGGGATTTAGAATGGTGGGATTCCGGGATTCAGATTTGTGGGATCCTGGGATTCAAAGTGGGATTCTGCGATTCAGAATTGAGGGATTCTGGAATTCAGAGTTGTGGGATCTTGGGATTCAGAGTTGTGGGATTCTTGGCATTCAGAGTTTGGGGATTCTGGGATTCAGAATTGTGGGATCCTGGGATTCTGAATCGTGTGGGATCTTGGGATTCAGAGTTGGGGGATCCTGGAATTCAACATTGTGGGATTCTGAGATTCAGATTTGTGGGATCCTGGGATTCAAAGTGGGATTCTGGGATTCGGAATTGTGGGATTCTGGGATTCAGAATTGGGGGATCCTGGGATTCAGAACTGTGGGATTCTGGGATTCAGAATATTGGGATTCTGCGATGTAGAGCTGGGGGATTCTGGGATTCAGAATCATGGGATCCTGGGATTCGTCATAATGGGGTGGGATTCTGGGATTCAGCTTTGTGGGGTGGGATCCTGGGATTCAGAGGGGGATCCTGGGATTCCAAACTGTGGGATTCAAGGGTTCACCTTTGTGGGATTCTGGGATTCAGAGTATGGGGATCCTGGGATTCAGAGTTGTGGGATTTTGGGATTCAGAATTGTGGGATACTGAGATTCAGAATTGTGGGATCTTGGGATTCAGAGTTGGGGGATTCTGGGATTCAGAGTTGTGGGATTTTGGGATTCAGAATAATGGGATTTTGGGATTCAGAATTGGGGGATTCCGGGATTCTGAATCGTGTGGGATCTTGGGATTCAGAATTGGGGGATTCTGGGATTCAGAGTTGTGGGATTTTAGGATTCAGAGTTGTGGGATCTTGGGATTCAGAGTTGGGGGATTCTGGGATTCAGAACTGTGGGATTCTGGGATTCAGAATTGTGAGATCCTGGGATTCAGCATTGTGGGATTCTGGGAATCAGAATTGTGGGATCTTGAGATTCAGAATTGGGGGATCCTGGGATTTAGGATTGGGGGATCTTGGGATTCAGAGTTGGGGGATTTTGGGATTCAGAGTTGGGGGATTCTTGGATTCAGAATTGGGGGATTTTGGGATTCAGAATTGGGGGATCCTGGGATTCCGAACTGTGGGATTCAAGGGTTCACCTTTGTGGGATTCTGGGATTCAAAGTGGGATTCTGGGATTCAGAGTTGTGGGATTTTGGGATTCAGAATTGTGGGATTCTGGGATTCAGAATTGGGGGATCCTGGGATTCAGAATTGTGGGATTCCGGGATTCAGAATTATGGGATCCTATGATTTGTCATAATGGGGTGGGATTTTGGGATTCAGAATTGGGGGATTCTGGGATTCAGAACTGTGGGATTCTGGGATTCGGAATTGGGGGATCCTGAGATTCAGATTTGTGGGATTCTGGGATTCAAAGTGGGATTCTGGCATTCAGAACTGTGGGATTCTGGGATTCAGAGCTGGGGGATCCTGGGATTCGGAATTGGGGGATTCTGGGATTTGGAATTGGGGGATTCTGAGATTCAGATTTGCAGGATCCTGGGATTCAAAGTGGGATTCTGGGATTCAGAATTGGGGGATCTTGGGATTCAGTGTTGGGGGATTCTGGGATTCAGAATTGTGGGATTCTGGGATTCAGAATTGTGGGATCCTGGGATTCAGAATTGTGGGATTCTGGGATTCAGAATTGTGGGATCCTGGGATTCAGAGTTGGGGGATTCTGGGATTCGGAATTTTGGAATTCTTGGATTCAGAGTTGTGGGATTCTGGGATTCAGAATAATGGGATCCTAGGATTCAGAGTAGTGGGATTTTGGGATTCAGAGTCTTGGGATCTTGGGATTCAGAGTTGGGGGATTCTGGGATTCAGAACTGTGGGATTCTGGGATTCAGATTTGTGGGATTCTGGGATTCAGACTTGGGGGATCCTGGGATTCAGAGTTGGGGGATTTTGGGATTCAGAGTTGGGGGATTCCGGGATTCTGAATCATGTGGGATCTTGGGATTCAGATTTGTGGGATTCTGGAGTTCAGCGTTGGGGGATTCTGGGATTCAGAATTTTGGTATTCTTGGATTCAGAGTTGGGGGATTTTGGGATTCAGAATTGTGGGATCTTGGGATTCAGAATCATGGGATCCTGGGATTTGACATAATGGGGTGGGATTCTGGGATTCAGCTTTGTGGGGTGGGATCCTGGGATTCAGCATTGGGGGATCCTGGGATTCAGAATTTTGGGATTCTTGGATTCAGAATTGGGGGATTTTGGGATTCAGAATTTTGGGATCCTGGGATTCAGAGTTGTGGGATTCTGGGATTCAGAGTTGGGGGATTCCGGGGTTCAGAATTGGGGGATTCTGGGATTCAGAACTGTGGGATTCTGGGATTCGGAATTGAGGGATTCTGGAATTCAGAACTGGGGGATCCTGGGATTCAGAGTTGGATCCTGGGATTCAGAACTGGGGGATCCTGGGATTCAGAATCGGGGAATTCTGGGATTCAAAGTGGGATTCTGCGATTCAGAGTTGGGGGATCCTGGAATTCAGAACTGGGGGAATCTGAGATTCAGAATTATGGGATTCCGGGATTCAGAACTGGGGAATCCCGGGATTTCCGGTGGATTCCTGACCCCGTCCCCCTCAGGCGTGTGCGTGTGGGAGATGCTGAGCTTCGGCAAGCAGCCGTTCTTCTGGCTGGAGAACAAGGACGTGATCGCGGTGCTGGAGAAGGGCGACC